AAATCAGACGACACTCAATTAATTAGGAATGCAGATATTGGATGATCATTGGTGATCCTCTTAGTATTTCTCCTTATCAGAGGGGAGATTGACAAAATGAAGATGGTGATCGAACATTTGTGGATGACATATATTAAATATTGGTAGATGTCAAATGATGACCAATTGGGAGCGTTGGACGATGGCTAGAGTTTGCTAAGAGGGGAGGCTAACTACCAGGAAGGCAAATATCAATGTTGGCGGCTTACAAAACTTGGGTTACAATAGACTAAGTATGCTGGATGTTGGGAAATTATTTGTGGTCTGCTCAATCCTTCACCTTATAGAAGATAGGCTAGACAATCAGAATTGTAGGTGTCAAGCGTTAGTACTCAACTAGCTAAGCGATGATGATACCATATGTTAATAGGCACCGATGTTGGTTGATGATGAGCTTCGACATTTGTAGATGACAAGCGTCTATGTTGGTCAACAATCGACGATGGGATCAACAATGGTGTTGTGTTCTTTAATTTTCTAAGTTCGAGAATTCTTTCCGTCAAAGTCCTCTTTGGGATCTCCTGCTAATGTGTCGAATTGGGGATGATTAGAGACTAGGATACTCCATTGGGCGATTATGTTGATCCTCTTGATCATTTGATGCTTATTCGACATATTAGTTGCTTAATGATATCATAATTGAGTGTTCTTGAGATCATCATTCTTATCTTATTGATACACTCATTTCAATTGTGAGCACGAGGAATTCGAGGTTGTTTGATATCTCAAATGATCTCGTGTAGTTTCAACTACACTTATGAGTACTAGATTTAAGTCTATTTGGACTGGCGTTCTTTGTATTATTTCGTGTGATCGAGACCCTCAATTTGTCATAGATAGAGTTCAGTTGTCCCAAATTAAGTTAATATTAAAATTTTTTATTTAGGTATTTGGATGGTTTGAGCTCTTAAAATTGCGGCAAGATACGTGCTTAATCAAATGAATTTACTAGTGACATATCATCTGGGAATAGGAGAAATTATTAAGTTTTTAATCAATATTTTTGTGTAGCTTTCAATCATCTTTTCTTTATGGAGTGATCAACCCACAATCAACAACTAATGATGTTATGCCATACTTTAAGATAATTAAGGAGAGAATTCAATTATTAAAAGTAATATTTTTATGGCTATAACCAATAACTAATATATATTTTTAAAATTAATATTTTTATTAATTAAGGAGAGAATTCAATAATTAAAATAAGATTAAATTGGTGCATTTGATTAGAATATATGTAAGATAGATTTAATTTGTCTATTTTCATGGTTGTAACTTCCAACTTTTTTTTCTTAAAACATATTTGTTATATTTGACATGTGATTTATTATTATTTTTTTAAAGAGCAAATAAATTTTCTCGTATAAATGAATTAAAAAGGTTAAAAAAAAAAATAGATTTTAATTTCAACATGAAGATTTATTATTATTTAGTTGTGGGCTCCGAAAATTCACACCCTGACCTCTTCGCGACCCCTCTCTTTTTCATGTCGGCGAGGAGAGTTTTAACGAATAAGTTCCAAGGCAAATTTTTAGAAGGTAGATTAGGTTTTAGATAAGATATTACCCAGAGATTTCACCCTCATTTTGTGAGTACTTTATTATCTGAGTTCAGGTTTCCTATAGGTGCAAGCCCTTATAGTTAATTACACCTCTCTATAGCGAGAGAGAAGTTTCGATTTAGGCTAGTCGTAAAAAAAGACTTGTAGTATCCGACGTATAGTAGCCGCAAAATTTGATATTTTAAAACTAGAATTTATCACCGCGCATTTAAAGTGGATGGTGGGGGGAATGATGATGAACCCGATCATGATCCCATTGTTCCATCATCCCGGGTCATCATGGTCCCTTGTCTATCGAGTTAGAGGAGGTAGTCAACCCGACCTGACTGAAGGATCGTTATCAGTAGCCATAAGTTGCTTCGTACAAGGGGACCTTCTAGACTTGGGGTGAATGTTTGCCTAAGAGGACAAATTTATGTCCACCTTAGCTAACAAAAGGCTTTGTGCCCTGTAGATTATATCATATTGATTCATTACTCAATATTTAGAGCCGTTGGGGAACATACGAGCTCTGACCATTACCGTAATTTAATGATACCATTTGACGGAAAAATCACCCAGTCAGAGGGGCCCAATCATAACCATTTACTTATGGTGTCATTTGATGATGAAAGCACCGGTTAGAGGACACGTACAATGTCCTTACTAGCAAGAGATGATTTAAGAATTAATATTTTTGATATTCTCGACTAGACATTTGTTCTTTGTGAGTTGAAGTAATTTTTAAATTTGTCCACCTAGACAAACTGTTGCGGAGAGTGGATGATTTTTGCTTTAAGTGTTAAATGATTAATTTTAGTTTTTTTAATATATGTAGAGTTTTGAAGCTTTTGGTAGAATTTAAAGGTTAACCCCTCTGGTTGATATTAGCTTTCAACGCGGCCATCCTCAAAGTGGCTTCATTGTCACTTTAAATGTTTATATTTTATGAGTATGGGAAGCATTTTAAAAGTTTGGGTCTCCTCCACTTGAGATTTTCTGTCAACACGATCATCATCGGGGTGACTTTATTGTCACTTTAAATGTTTATATTTTATGAGTATGGGAGGCATTTTAAAAGTTTGGGTTCCCCTACCATTGAGATTTTCTATCAATACGGTCATTATCGGGTTGACTTTATTGTCACTCTAAATGTTTATATTTTATGAAATTTTGGGAGGAATTTTAAATATTTGGAGTCTCCTTCGATTGAGATTTTCTGTCAACATGATCATCATTGGGGATTTTAAAGTCATTTAAAAATATTTATATTTCATAAGCATTTTAGAGGCATTTGAAAATGTAGTGTCTAGTCGGGTTGAGATAAACATTCAACACGATCATCATCCGAGATTATGAGCAATTTCAATTTATTGTCAGAATATTATCGACTACGTCTACTTGCTAACAGATGATCGGGTCAATATAGATTTACATTTTTGGTGATGAATCTTTCTTATAATAGATTTATATGTAACTTTTTTTGTGCTATTAGAATTATTTGCAACATTGTTTTTTCAAGAATCGGCTCTCCTTGCGGTGGTAGTAAAGAATGCAAGTTCCCTTCCAATTTGTGGCTAGTTATAATTATGCTTCGACATAAAAAAAAACATTTCTTTCAAGAATGCTTGACTTTTTGAGGAAATAAATTTTATAATAACTCAATAATTATGCTTGTGTGCTCATTTTGTCATTGAATGGAAAAAAAAAGCACTATAACTAACCATGTGGGAACTTGAGTAGCAATTCTTTTTAGCATCAGTTTATATCATTGTGGCTCCAATCTTTTAATTGTTATTTTCCTTAACACAAGTTGTGCCATTGATGCTATCATCAGCCAAGGAAAAACTTTAGCAAAGACAGTAGTTCGCATTATCTATTGTAATTAAACTAGCTATACTATATGAATCCATGCTGGTCTTCAAAAAAGTTACTTGCCGCAAAGTTGATGGCGATATTATTTAGATAGTTGAGATGGATTCATGATAAAACTATGAAGGATAAATTTAGAAATAATTATATTATAAAGATGGTGGGATAATATCTTTTGAAGATAAGAGCAAGATATAATTAGATGGTTTGGCCACATATATTGGAGTGTTGAGATAGTCCACCAAAATGGTTAGTTTGAGATGATTGAATAGGGGTAGATTAAAGTAACATGGCAAGAGGTTATGTGAAAAGATATGCAAAAAAATAGTGAACTCCTTATGTACATAAGGGAGAATGGTCACAAGGCTGATCCTAAATAGTTAGGATAATTAAGGATAATAATGGCATTGATGATTGATTGAAGAAATATTAGTAGAATTAGCTATTTCTTATGGCAAATCCTATCTTCTAGTATAGTACATAAGGGAGAACCGTAATTATGCTAGAGTGGAGCAGGATTTTTTTTCACAAAAAAAAAAGTAGAAGACTACAGCAAAATCACCTATTACCGGCAGCTTTTTCGGACAGAAAGTGATAATTTTATGGCAGCTTTAGAATTTACCGGTTGCCCGCGACTGCCCGGACGCCCAGCCCTGCCTACCTGCGCCTGTGCGAATCCAGCGAGATTCGAACTGTGTTGAATTCAAATTATATCAAACACAACCATTATGCTACAATGCAAAATATGACTCATTGCTTACTAATTATTTCATAAAATTAATAATCATTTTAAAAGCTGAAATTATATTGACTAATTAATTTTATTATGTAAATTAAAATTTAATAATAAGTTAAAAAATTAAAATTAGTAATTAGTAATTAATTTAAAATGGAAATTAATTAAATTAAAGTATTATCATTAAAATTTAATTAAAACAAATTATTAACTTAATAATTTATTAAAATACTATTAAAATAACTAATCAATGAAAATAAAATTTTAAAATAAATTTAAATTTAAATCTTTAATTAAGGAACAATTTAACTTAAATTAGTTAATATAATTTTTAATCTTTTTTTCTTAAATCATTTAAATAGTTAAATTTTTAATCATTTTATTTAAATTATTTAAAAGTCGCCGGAAAGCTAGAAAAGCTGCCGGAAAATTTCGCCGGTAATGGGTGATTTTCCTGTAGTGGAACTGAAGAAGCCTAAACTAAAATGGTGGCAGTGTTTGTTGAATACCTACAACAAACTTTGTGGTGACAATTATGAAGTCTGCCATACAATTGACAATGGCCTTGATCACTAAGTGTCGGCTATCCAGTCAAACCAATGGTTACAACTCGTGGTTGTTTTCGGAGTTTAACTTTTTAAATCATTTTTTGTAATATATGATTGTTCGGATAAATACTAGTATCCATAATAATGTACAAAGTATTTAAAAAGGAAATGTCTTATTGTCTGCATTTTTACTAGGATAATTTCCTTTTTACATTGATTAGCGAAATTTAATCTGCGCTGTTTATAATGCATGGTGCTCTCTCAGAATGCTGCGCTAGCATTGGATGACTCCATTCTAGATGGTGATCAAGTTGAAAATCTTATCAAGTTTTGTCCAACCGAAGAAGATGTGGAGCTTCTTAAGGTGCATAAATCAGTAGTTTGATTTCATTTGATTGGTAATTCATTACTCTTATTTTACAACTTTTGCGCTGTAACCTGAATTCTCATGTGTTCTTGGATGTTAGAACTACACTGGAGATAAAGAAAGCCTTGGTAAATGTGAGCAGGTAAGTTCGATCTTATAATGCAGAAGTTACATTTTCTCGTAAACATTTTTGCATTGTTTTCTCATTCTGTTCGATCTGTATGTGCTAATTTTCTTATTCTGTTTAATGATGTATAGTTGATCAATAACACTAAAAGATATAACAAGAAGTGCTAATATTTTTCTATTGTTTGCTCTATTATTTCTTATCTTTATTGGCAAGTTGGGCTTTTCATATCTAAATTCTATAAATTTGATTTATTTATTTTTGTTCCGTGTGTATCTCTTTCACTCAAATGAATTGCTAACATGGTGATTTGAGCAATTCCTTCTATTTTCTGATCTCTAGGCTTATTCAGCTGTTTGAGCTCACCAATATTGTGCATGGTTCTTTCTTTATACAAATGAACAAATAGGTGTAAAACTTGCAGAAAACAACCTTTTGTCCTTGCCTAATCATATTTTGATTGGATGCATTAATTAACATTTGTGGTGTATATGCATGCACATATATGGATTTGTGAGCATAAAAAGGAAAAAAAGAAAAAAATAGAAAAAATACTTTAAATTTTCTTGCTTAATTTTGTAAGAAGTGTGGAAGTATTTGTAAACTTTTCCAAAATGCTTACTATGGAAATAAATCAAAGTTATTTATAAAAAAAAAACCTTGAAGGGGGGCTGTCAGTTGGAATAGGAAGAGGAGACACTTCGATAGCAATCTAAGTGTCATAAGAGAATTGATCCAATAGTTTGAACACTTAATCCGTATGCTTAAGGATCTCTATTAAGATTGGTTGACTTGTGGGCCCCATGATCAACTTCCTGTCAAACTGAATGATATAAATTTATCATTCCAAGTTTGTTTATAATATTTTTGAATGTGGGATTGCAGATCTTTTGGTGAGAATGTTAGCTAGTTGTTTTTTTAGCACATATGGAGTGCAAGTCTATCTACTTTTTATTCTCTTTTATATAACTCTTCATAACACTATTATTACCATGTCTTAAGTCATGGATGAGAAAAGTGAAGAGCTGTGTTAGGTAGTCGACAACCAATGTAAAATTTGTTGAATAATCATGACATTAATTGAAGACTAAAAAGATGTTGGATGAGTGAAGAATTAGCGTGTGTTGATTAAAAAAAAAAGAGTGTGTGTTGATTCCTATTTTTAAGAATAAAGGTGATGAATAAGATTGTACGAATGATAAAGGAATTAAGTTAAGGTGTCATTCTAAAACTATGGGAGAGAGTTATGGAGCATAGGTTGCGACGTGATACTAATGTTTCTCAAAATCAATTTGGATTCATGCCAGATTGGTCTACTATGGAAGCTATACATTTACTGAGAGGTTTGATGGAGAAGTATAGAGAGAATAAGGAGGTCTACATATGATATTTATTGATTTAGAGAAAGCATATGATAAAGTTTCAAGAGAAGTGCTATGGAGAGTTCTAGAAAAGAAATGGATTATTAATTCTTATATTCTAGTCATTAAGGATATGTATGCATAAGTTGTTATTTGTATTCAAACACAAGGTGGTTTGACCAAGTATTTTCCTATTTCAGTTGGATTACATCAAGGTCCATATCTTTTTTGCTTTAGTCATGGATGTTCTCACTAAACATTTGTTAGAGGTTGAACCCCGGTTTATGCTTTTACTGATGATATTCTTCTTGTTGATAAGATAAGAGAGGGAGTTAAAGGTAAACTTGAATTAAGGAGGTCAACCTTAGAGTATAAAGGTTATTCGTTTGAGTAGATCTAAAGATGAATATATGGAGTGTATTTTTAGTAGTAATAGATCTAGTGGGGAGATTGTAACTTTGGGCGATCAAGGCATTAATAAGAGTACACATTTTAGATATCTTGGATCTATTGTTCAAACTGATGGTGAATAGATGGGGATATTATTAGTAGAATTCAAATTGGATGGTTGAAGTGGAGGAATTCATAGAGCTTGTTGTGTGATAGAAAAGTCCCTCTAAAACTTAAGGAAAAATTCTATAAGATGGTGGTTAGACCTGCCATGCTTCATGGTCCATAATATTGGCCATTAAAAGAGAATCATAATATTAAGTTAAGTCTTACAGAGATGAAGATGCTCAAGTGGATGAGTGGCTTTACTCTTAGAGACAGGATATAAAATGAGGATATATGTGAAAATGTTGGAGAAGCTCATGTGGAAGATAAGATTAGAGAGAGTCTCCTTAGATGGTTTAGTCACATAAAATGGCTGTCTTTCGATGACCTGGTTAAGAAAATAGATGTATTAGATTAGGCTTATGTTAAAAAGGTAGAGATAGACCTAAAAGACTTGGTTAGAAAATATTAGAAATTACATTTCTTTGTTAGTTTTAAATGAGAATTTGACTCAAAAACATGATACAATGGAGAAAAATGATTCATGTAGCCGACCCCACGTAGTGGGATAAAGGCTTGTTGTTGTTGTTGTTTTATGAAATATCTATCCACCTCCACATGCTTAGTACAATCATGTATGACTGGATTATGAATAGCATTGATGGAAGATTTGTTATGACAATATATCTTTATTGGCCACTCCTATTTGATTTTTAAATCTTCCTAAATGAGATTGATCGATAGAAGCTTATAGATTCCATAGACAATGGCTCTAAACTCAAACTTCATGCTAGATCTTCAAATAAATGGTTGTTTCTTGCTCCTCATTATTATGAGATTCCCTACAAAAAATGTATGGTATCAAGTTGTGGATCTATTTATTGGTAGTCATGCATAGTATGCATCAGCATACCCTTTAATTTGTAAAGTGATCTTCTTTTTATATAAGATTTCTTTACCAATACTTGATTTAAGGTATATGAGTATTTATAAGTAGCTAAAATATGAGAATCTTTGGGTTTGCACATGAATTAATCGATAAGACATACTGCAAATGCAAATTTTGAATGGAAGTGAGAAATCTTTTTTTTTTCCAACTTATCTTTCATATTGTTTCATGTCAACTTCATTTCCTTCTTCATCTATGTTTTTTTTTTTTTTTGACTTGTTCAATCTGGTTTCATAGGATTTGCAATCGGTCATCTTTGTTTTTTTAGTAGATCTATGATATATTTTTGTTAATAGACAAATATTTCTTATTTAGATTGAGCAACATCAATTCTTAAGATGTATTTTGGTTTCCCAACTCTTTAATCTTAAATTCTTCAACAAGATTGTGGGCTCCGAAAATTCGGCCCTGGCCTCCACTCGCTTTTCTTTTATTCGGCGAGGGAGTTTTAACTGAATAAGTTCCGAGGTAAATTTTGGAAGACAGATGGGTTTGTAGATAAGACACTACCCAGAGATTTCGCCCATATTTTGTGAGGACTTTATGATATGAGTTCTGGTTTCCTATAGGCGCAAGCCCCTATAGTTAATTACCCCTCTCGATCACGAGAGAGAACTTTCGATTAAGGCTAGTCGTCAATCAGATACGTATAGAATATACGTGTTATCTAGCATATAGTAGCAGCAATGGATTTAGATA